TCTCTCTCTCTCTCTCTCTCTCTCTCTCTCTCTCTCTCTCCCTCTCCCTCTCCCTCTCCCTCTCCCCCTCTCCCTCCCTTCCTCCCTCCCTCTTTCTCTCTTTCTTCTCCTTTTTAATAGAATAAATTTAAAGAATAAATAAAATAAAGCGATTAAAAAAATCGAAAAAAACTATAACGATTTTTACGATTTCGGTTTTCTTTACTCGTAAAAAAAAATCGAAATTGAAACCGAGACATCTATTTAATACTTTATTAAATTGGAACCAGAACTGAATTGAAAATATCTTTCGGTCCGGGTTCCTGAATGAAAGATATAGTACTATTTTCTTGCCTTTTAAATGTAAATTAGTTTTAAAGTTGTTTTGAAAACAAGAGATGGAACTCAAAAATCAAAAACATACTGATTTAAAAGCTCATCTCCTAATCCAAAAGATCTCCTAATTTTGCGCCTACGAGCGATTTCTGGTTGTTAATTTTAAGTGTGAACGTCCACTTGGTTTCCTATCTTTAAAGGGGTCTCCTACTTTAAGAGATCGAAAAAGAAATGATTTTTCATAATTTTTTTTTCAAAAGAAAGACTAATATTTATTGTTTTTAAAACTTTTTGCACATTTTAACTATTGTAGAATACGTAAAAATTTTTATGTGAGAAAAAGTATTATAATAAAAATATAAACATTTACTTTGGCGCTTTGCCATGATGTTATGATTTTGTATACATTTTAGCGACTGTCAGAAATAAAAAATTAAGAAATATTTTTAATTTTTATAGAATTTTATCCTAAATGAACCTAAAAAATTAAAAAAAAATATATATATATTTTTTATATATATATATATATATGTGCGTCACCAAAATCCGGACAAATCGAACAATTTTTTTGAACAAAATTTTTAATGAAAAATTAAATATTACAAAAAATCCTTTTACATGGCATTTGAGAGATCCTTATAGAATACAGTTATTCGATATATCTCCCATTATCTTGAATGATGGCCTTAGTCTGAAGGTCTAATGTAGCGCTATCCATGCCGACGAATGCTACCTCAATAACGGTCCTTAATGATGTCACATTGGGATGCCGAGACTTGTTTGTGATCCTTTCAACTATGCTCCGTACGTATTATAGTGGTCCAAGGGATTTAAATCTGGGCTGTTGGGAGGCCAGAATTCCTTGGACTAAAACATATTGATTGTCTAAGAACTAATTTTGAATTCATGACTCGTATGAGCCGGTGCACTATTACTAAAAAACATATGGCCTTCCGGACATCATAGTTTTCATTCATGGCTTCACTACATCCATCAGAACGCGCAATGATTGCCCTGGGTCATCCGAAATCAGCTCTTTCAATGACTGCGAGGGTCCTCGCGATGCGTTCTTTTGAGTGATTCTTCCTCGCTGGCATTCTGAACATTCTGAAATCTTTGTTGGACTGTTCTAAAGCCGTATATTTTGTCACAACGTCATAAACGGTTGCTCTCGGGTATCCAAACAACTGAATTATTTCCTGAGTGCCCAGCGCGAAGGTCTTCGATGATCGTGGCTCTTCGATTATATTCCGCACTTGGTTTTAACATCGTGGCCATTTTGAATACGACTGTTTACTAGAAGCATCAGGCTTTCTCGAACGTTAACAACTTCTGGCAGAGGCACAGTATAACGGAAAATTTAAATTGAAATTTGTCCAGATTTTGATGATATATATATATATATATGAAAATGATTCCCTGATAACAAAATGTTAGCAATTCGCGCAAATTGACAGCAAACTCGATCGGATTTTGATTATAAAATCATAGCTGTGTCTGCATTTGGTTGTGGATTTGTCGACAAAGCTTGTTGACATATTTTGCTAGCAGACTGATAAAAACAGCGTCTACTTAAGAGCTGCGTTCGGCAATGCAAATCTGAGGCGTCGGAGTATTCCTTTTTTACAGTGACATATGCTATAATATAAAAGCACTCCGACGCCTCAGATTTGCATTATCGAACACAGCTATGGTATAAAAACAAAGATATGCGCACCCGCATGCTATACGCAACTAATTAAAATTGTCAAAGTGTGACATCATAGATAAGCGATAAATTTAAAACTACTGTTTTCAAGCAGCAGTTTCCTTATGTTAGCAGCATGTTCGTCAGATATATCATTTTGATTTCAAATTTACTGGAAAAATATGTTTTAAAATAATATTTTGTAAACTAATATTTGTAAACTAATAAATATTTTGTAAACTAATAAATATTTTGTAAACTAATAAATATCCTGTAACTTAATTAATAAATATCCTGTACTTTTCTTTTGACAGCAATATATTATGAAGCATGGTGCATCGAAGTGTTGGGAACGTATCATAGCTGAACATGAACAAAATTATATATAATTTACATTTATATATTTATAAGAAATAGAAAATCTTATCTTTTTTTAATGTTTTGTTTTCCGCATGCTGCAACCCAACTTAGCTGCGATCGTAAAATCTTTCGGAAACGAAAAATATTTTACGCTTAAATTTATGTCAATATAAGGGCTATGAGCCAAAGGAAAAACGATGTGAAGAAAATAAACACTGTTTGTAGCTTTATTTTTATTTAATACATTATTTTATTTTCTTCACATCGTTTTTCTTTTGGCTCGCCTTTTTGGTCCTTATATTGACATAATTTTATTTATATTATTAGAGCTATTCTTTATTTTATATTTTATATTTTATGCTTCCAGCATAAGCAATTTTGTTTTCCGAAAATAATAATTGCCGAACCTTTCACGGAATAAGACAGGCATTGTCGAGTGAGGCGCCATGCTACGAATTCTCACGGCGCGGTTTCACCTCTCATTGGCTTAGATATTTCTTTTTTTAATTCGAAAACTACAGCAAATATCTCAAAATGATATAAGATTTTTTTGTTCTTCTTGACCTATTCTATGGCCTATATACGACTCCTATCCTATTTTTGAGATATCCGTATATTTATATATGCATACTGATGTGAAAGCTATACTAGAAACAATTAATATAGTTTTATTATTCAAATATTATTGATTAGTTTCACATTTCAAAAATATACATGAGAAAAAAAAATTATAAAATAATAGTCAAAAAATATTTGAAGATTCAGAAAACACTTCGAAAAAGTTTGGGCTAGGAGATTTACCTATTCAATTTACATACGCCAATTCTTATACGACTCCTGGGCAATTTCTTGTTATAAAAAGCAAGTCCAAGTTCTTGTGGCGATGCCGTATATGAAAATGACAAATTTTGCTCGATTTTTGCTGTCAATTTGCTGTCAAGTTATGTCAGCAGGCTCTGTACGATTTTTGCTTGCAATCTGCTGTCAGGCTATGCAGCAGACTTTCTATTTGGTTTTTATCATCAATTTACTGGCATAGCATGTTAGCAGGCTTTGTCATATTTTTGACAGCAGTTTGCTGACAATATCTGCTAGTACAAACTTTATGTACAATTTGTTGCCTTTCTGCAATCAAAAATTGATAACAGACTCAAAATCTGTCTCCCTTTGCTATAAGAGCTGTGTGCGATTTTGAAAAAAGTTACGATTTTAATTTATAGGTAGCAGCCATTTCTTTATGCAAAAAAAAATTGTTAATGTTGACTTTTATTTAATTTTTTAAGTTCATCGAGGATGGTTGACTGTTAACTAACTAACAAGTCTATAAAAAGCCTATAAAAAGTCGATTAGTCAAATATTTTTTTCTGAATGTGTAAACAAAATTGAAGAAAAATAGATTTCGAAAAAAATGCGTTCAAAGTTTTCGGTTCAGTTCTTGAGTGCTCTTATAGTGCTCGAAGACTAATCTGTTATTCTAGAAGCATACAATAATCCTTTAGCTTCCTCATGAAATTCATTTTGAGCAATTTGAGCAATTGTATGAAGTACTCTTTTTTCATGCTATTAATAAAGGAATTGATCTCATCGATTTTAATAAATCTTCGGATATGTTATAAAGCATGAAAAAATATCCAGGCAGCAAGTAAACTTTGTCATTTTGACATCAAAATGTCATTATAAGTTTTAACATCAAAATGACAATAAATGATGTTAGCTTGTAACTTGGGTATTACGACCCATATCTTTTTGTTTGTGTTCAAAGTTTAGGGAGTGAAACATCTCCTAAAAAAAAAAATCAGTTTTTTTTCTTTTGAAATATCATTGAAACTATAAGAGATAGAAAAAATTTTCAATGAAAATTGAATGGCAAAAGTATTTTAAAACTATAATAAAAGAATTTTTTAATTATTTATTATACCTATGTCCATATATAGAAGCACTGAATTTATATCAAAGAATTTCGAATTTCGCTCTAAAATTTTAGGAATATATTCTTCTCTGAAAAGTTGTACTATTGATTTATGAAAAAAAAAATCGATTTTTTTTTATCCTATAAAGCAGGATCCCTTTAAATCAAAATTCCTGCTGACGAGCTCCAAATCTTTTTCTTGTGGAATTTGAAAATAATTCATAAATAACTCTAATTCTGAGCTATGCATTTTTTTATTTCCGCATGATGGAGAGGCCACCTGGACAGAGGTCATTCTTTATGTTAATAAAGAAGATTGTAAACAAAACAATCATTTTTTTAATCGTTCAAAAAATAAAAAGTTGTATTAAAACTTTTATTCCGTATATCTTCTCTTAGCTATCAGAAATACAGATCGAAAATAGTAATTGAAAAAAGAGAACCAAGAAAACGCATTGAAGAATCAGCATTTATACATAGAAAAGAAATGCGCTATTCTTACTGTCTCTAAAGCTGGCGGTACACGATTCTTTTTTTCTGTTAGATTGCTAGCTGGATTTGCGTACTTGTTACTGTATAGGCTACGATGCCAATCAATACGATAACAAATACGCAATCTAGCAGAAAAAAAAGCATCGTGTGCCGCCGGCTTTATATTTAGAACTTTAAATTTATAATCAGTTTAATTTGCTCAACAAAAATGTTTTTAAATAATCATATCTATTACAGATCCATACGTTAAAGTATTAATGTTAAACGGAAAGACGGGTAAAAAAATGAAGAAAAAGAAGACCAAATATTTGTGTACGATTGCACAACCAGAATTTAATGAGACATTGACGTTTAACTTACCAGTTACACAACTCGATACTGTCCAATTTTTAGTGGTGCTTTGTGGCAAGGTAAATTGGAAAACAGATTTTTTTGAAAAATAAATACAATAACTTTGTAATATGAAAATCAATACACTCAACAGCAAAATTAAGGTATCACCTATTTATATTTTGTCCCTAAAACAAAAAATAAATTTTAAGAAACTATAACTTCATAAAATCATACTGAATGACACGGAAATATTGTTCATAATATATACTAAAAATTCGAAAAAATTAATGAGACTATTATCTAAATTATTAATTTGAAATGTAGAGATTTCAAACTTCAAATTGTTTTGAATCTCATTACGACTTTTTACGAAGTTATCTTGTCTTCAAGTCTATTGTCTCTGGGACCAGAATAGGAGTAGAATAATGCTTTAATTTTTTGTTATCGAATGTATGTATATTTAAGGATACATTAAAAATTAAGACTCAATATAATTCTTGTTATTTCTATATTATTATCTGGATATTTGTGCATTTGTTATCCAACTTTATGAATATTACTTGAGTATCCAGATAACATCCGACAAAATCATTTATCCAGACATTCGGATATTTGAAATATCCAGTAACGCACAACGGATATCCAATTAATATCCGAGATACTCGGGTAATCCTTGGAAATTGACAACTTTATTAGATGTAATCTGTAAACAGATCATAAAACTTTTAATAAATTTTAAGTACTTCAGAAATGATATTTAAATATTTACAGGGTGTCTTATAAGTTTTTGTCAAGAGCTTTTGTGTAGATAGAGCGAACTAAACTGTCGAAAAGTCGATCTAACATTCTGGAATTTTCGCAACAGTTCACGAGATATTAATTACTGAAAATCGCTGAATATTTTTAATAATTTTTAATAATTTTTTTACTCAAATATTATCAACTTTACAGACAAATAGCGAGAGACAAAAATTATTTATTCTCTTCTCAAGTTCTAAAGTTCTGAGAATTTTTTCAGAATTTTTTAATGCCGCATTTTCTCATGTTGGTAAGAATAAGAACAAGCAGTACTAAAAAAAATTCTGAAAAAATTCTTAGAGTTCTGAGAAGAAAATTAATGATTTTTGTCTCTACAATGTTTCAAGTTGATAACTTTGGGTAAGAAATTATTAAAGATCAATATTCAGCAATTTTTATAATTAATATCTTGTATTAATTATTGCGAAAATTGCAAAATTATAGAGAGCTTTTCTACTCAGTTTAGTCCGTTCTATCTATACAAAGGAGCTTGGGAAAAATTTAGGAGACACTCTATATATGTTTAATTGATACTTAACAATATTTAAGTATCAAATATATATTTAAATATCATTTTTATAGTACTATAAATAGCTGACCTTTTTAATAATATTTCAAAAAGATTGCAAATTCTTTTTGTAACATTTCATCAACCTTTCAACAAGGCTTCATATGAAGAATTGCGGATATTACTATTTCAGAGCTGTCTCAGAAATATTGCAGACATATTTCGCAACCTTTATAAAATGTTTCACTTTTCATTCAATTAAAATATTTCTGAGAAAATATTTCTAAAAAAAACTTTCGGTGCTGTATAATTGAAAGATCCTGATAATGCTCTTTAATTCACATATTTATCATAATATAATTATATATCATATTATATCGATTGAGATATAAAATCGATATATAAAAAAAACTAGAAATGATTAGGCTCTACATTTTTTATTATATTAGGACGTTTTATTATGAGAATGAGCAAAAGAGAAAAGAGACGAGGAAAGAAAGAAGAAAAGGAGAAAGAGAAAAAAAAGGAGAGAAAGAAAAGAGAAAGAGAGATAGGGAGAGAATTACTTCTAAAGAAAAATAAACGAAACATTACCAAGCCTCTTCTTTGGCGTGAGTCTAGATTATTTTTAATTTTACTAAAATTGAACATACTCGCGAAATAAATACTTTGAGATTTATTCAGTACTTAGTCTTCGTTACTTAGTCTTCAGTACAAGTCTTCGTTTCTCTCTTAAATAGTAAGAAAATCCATATAACTAGTCTATTTAGATATAATATAGCCAACATATTAATGTTGACTATTTAAAAAAAAAAGAAATATTATTTTTGAAATAATTACACAAATTCGATTTATTCCTGATATTATTGATTCGGTTCTCGTATACTTCTCATTGTCAGTTTCCATTCTTCTTCTATTTGTATCTCCATTTATTTCTATTTCTCATCATTTCTTATAATTCAATAGAATTATATATTAACTATATAACAATTAATTTAACACTTTGATGGTCGCACCTTTCAGAAAAAAGTTTGCCATGACATATTAGGTGTACAACTTTGCTTCCGCCGTTTTTTTTCCGAAATTCAAGGCTTTATTGTAAAAAACTGGTTATATTTATGACTGGTTATATTCAATATAACTGGTTATATTCAAAGTATTGTCCATCGCTGGCCACTACTTTCTCCCATCTTTCGGGTAGCGTACGAATCCCGCGTCGAAAAAACTGGTCATCTTTTGAGGCTATCCACGAATCGATCCAATTTTTTACTTCTTCTATAAGACCGGAAGTGCGGGTCAGCCAGGCCGTGTGCCATTGATCGAAACAAGTGATAGTCAGAGGGAGCAACGTCTGGAGAATACGGCGGGTGAGGTAGGACTTCCCATTTCAATGTTTCCAAGTATGTCTTGACCACTTTCGCAACATGGGATCGAGCATTGTCATGCTGCAAAAATCACTTTATCGTATCTCTCGTTGTATTGCGGCCGTTTGTCTTTCAATGCTCAGCTCAAACACATCAATTGCGTTCGATACCGATCGCCTGTGATTGTTTCAGTCGGTTTTAACAGTTCATAATGCACTACGCCGAGCTGGTCCCACCAAATACAGAGCATGACCTTGGACCTCAAAATCACCGTTCTTGAAACCACTCACGACACGTTCTTTCACTAATAGCGGCCTCACCATAAGTATTTGAGAGCATTCGATGAGCCTAAGCCGCAGATTTCTTCATATTGAAGCAAAAAATTAAAA